TTAAATAAATTAAAAAAGAATCTAAGAAATTTATAAAAGATCGTAGAGAGATTTATTATCTTAAAGGCTATAAAGAAATATCTTCGAAAATTAAATAACTCGTATTATGTTAGATAAAAAGATATAGAGCTTATAAAGGCTACTATTAAGTCGACTATCACACGAATCGCGACTAATATACGTCTTATATCTATTACTAGAGCTATAATCGCTATATTTCTAGATATTAAGATTAATCTAAAATTAAAGAAATTAATATATTATAACTACGATAAAAAAGATTATTATTAAAATATCTATATAATAGCTACTTAAACTAAAGTTAATAAAAAGACCTTTAAAAAAGTACGACTCTACGCGATAAATATAAATAAAGAATTTAAAATTAATAACGTCGATACCATAGGTAGCGATAATGCTTTATCGAATTCGAGAAATAAATAGCCTCTTTTAAAGTTACGATAAGAGATACTTATAAAGTATATTTAATAGATACTCTTAATAACGCTCTAATACGTCGTCCTTTCTATATATAAGTTATACTTTTCTTATAAGAGAGAATCTATCTATTTAAGAACTTTCTTATAGATAATAAATATATCGATACTTATATAGTCATAAACGAGTTCTTAATTCTAGCGATATATAAAGTCTTATATCTAGAATTACTTCTACTATTATAATCTAAATTATTAAAAAATTATAATAACTAAATTATAAAATAATTAATTATATATTACTTACTCTTAATAATAATAGTAAAAAACTATTAAGAAGAAATATATCTAATATTAATTATATTATTGAAATATAATATAATAATCGAGAAATCTTAAATAAATAAATACGAAGTAATTCTTAATATATTATAAGATAAGATACTCTTTTTATTCGATTAATATAATTATAATAATAATTAGATATTAATAATAGACGAACTCTTCTTTCTATTAACTTCGAAACTTCGACTATCTATATCACTTATTTCTCTATCTATTATACTAAAATAATAAAGCTCTCTCTTATTTACTTATAATAATAAGACTAATTTAAATATCTTTTTATTAAATAAGAACGAGAATAGTAAGAAATCTAAGTTTATTAATATCGCTAAGATTAATATAGCGATCTACTATTAACTAGCCTATAAAAAAAGTAATAAACTATTTATATTAATAATAAATGAGATCTATAAAAATACGTTAATATTATATATATCTTTTATTACTCGAATATCTCGCGGTTCTCGTATATCGATTAATAAACTCTATCTCTATAACTTAGAAAAGAAATATAAAAGATATTATAGTTCTAATTATTCTATTTAGATTAATAATATTAATAAGATTAATTCTAAAAAAGTAAAATATAGACTATCTACGAAGTATTATAACTATCTCGATATTTTTAATAGAACTAAGATAAATATACTTCTCTTATATCGTTCTTATAATTATAAGCTAAAATTTAACGATAGCTTCGATAAAACGAAACTTCTAAAAAGTAGAATCTATTTAATATTAGAATATAAGCTAAAATAAATAAAGAAGTATCTAGATGAATATCTAAAGAAGGGATTTATAATACTAAGCTATATATTATTCGCCTTATCTATTCTATTCGCGAAAAAGTCGAATAAAGAGTTATACTTTTATATAAACTATCGAAAGCTAAACGCTATTACTAAAAGAAATCGATATCTAATTCTATTAATAGATAAGATTTTAATAAGAATTTAGAAATATAAATATCTTACTCGATTAGATATTATAGCCGCGTTTAATAAACTATATATATACCCCGATAGCGAGGATTTTACTACTTTTATTACCTCTCTTAAAGTATATAAATATCGAGTTCTCTCCTTTAATCTAATTAACGATTTAATTACATATTAATAATATATAAATAATATTCTATTCGAGTATCTAAACGATTTCTACTAGATCTATCTCGATAATATATTTATTTATAATAAGATAAAAAAGAAATACGTTTAATATATTAAATAAATCCTTTAGAAATTAAGAGATATCGGCCTCTAGATAAATATTCTTAAATACGAATTCCATATCTAGGAAATTAAATTTTTAGATCTATTAATATCTATAAACGGATTATAAATAAACTCTATTAAAATCTAGACTATTATCGAGTAAACTACATCTATTAACCTTAAAAAGATATAGGCCTTTATTAGATTTTGCAATTTTTATTAATAATTTATTAGAGACTTCTCTAAAATAGTTAAATCTATAGTAAAACTCATCGTAAAAAAGATTATATTTAATTAATCCCCAGTATATTAAGAGATCTTTCATTTTCTTAAAATCGCTATTACTAAAGCTTTAGTTCTATATTATTTCGATAGAATAAAAAATATCGTTCTAAAGTCTAACTCTTTCGATTACGTTAATAAAGATATTCTTTTTTAATATAATAATAAAAAAATACTTCACTCGATAGTCTTCTATAGTAAAAATCTTACTCTAGTAAAGTATAACTATTAAATCTACAATAAGAAGTTACTAGCTATTATTCGCTATCTTAAATATTAATATTCTAAATTAAAATATATTAATATTTCTATTAAGATCTTCACGAATTATAAGAGCTTAATATACTTTATCGAAGAAAGAGATCTTAGTTATCGCCAGGCCCGCTATTTAGATATACTATTCGAATTTAATATAAAAATTATTTATCGATTTAAGTCTTAGAACGTTAAGGTAAATATATTTATATAAATAGCTAAGTATAAATTAATTAATTTCGAAAATAAATAATTACGCTAATAGTATTAAATAATTCTTATTTCTAATCGATTAAAGTTAAATAGCGAAAGTATTAATATATATATAATTAATAATCTTATTTACTATAAGATAATAGACGCTAATAAAAAAAACGACTATTATATAAAAATTCGTAACGCTATCGCTAAGAATAAGAATAAATTTTAAGAAATTACTCTTAATAAGTGCTTCGTATAGAACGAGGTACTTTACTATAAGAATCGTTTATAGATATTTAATAATATATATACTAATATTATTCGAGAGATATATAATTAACTATTCTACGATTATCTTAGAGTAGTATATATTTATAAACTACTTAAAAGGAAGTATTATTAGCGAGAAATAAGGGCGATAGTAGCTACCTATATTTAGAATTGCTATATCTATTAAAGAACTAAGATATCTCGAGATTAGAAATATAATTTACTTTAGTCTCTATCGATTCTATAGAAACGATAATAAGATATATTAATCGATTTCGTTATAGACTTATCTATATTTAACGACTATAACGCTATTTAAATAGCGATTAATTAACTTACTAAGAAACGTTACTACGTAATCTATTTCGATATTAATAAAGATATTATTACTAAAAAGATAGTTAACTTACTACTTAAAGAAATATTTCGCCTATATAACTTATTAATCTTAATAATATTAGATCGAGACTCTTAATTTATAGCTATTATATAGAAATTCTTTTATAAGTAATTAGATATTATAGTTAAGCTATTAATAGCTTTTTACTCTAAAATCGATAAATAAATTAAGCGAGTAAATTAGAATATAAAGCGTTATCTTCGAATATACTATAACTATATATAAAACGACTAGATAAGATAATTATCTATTATTAAGTTTACTAATAATAATACTATCTTAGTAATTACTAATATTTCATCTTTCCTTATAAATAAGAGATTTTATTCTCAAATAAGTTTTAATCTAAATATTATTAATTATAAGACTACTCGTAAGCGTCTTAATACTACTCGAATAGAGAATATTACGAATTATATAAAATAGATTCTTAAGTATATTAAAAGTAATATAAATCGTACTTAGAAGATTATAATTATATAAGTTAATAAGTATCGATAAAAGATTATCTTTTAAATAGGCGATAAGATCTTTCTAAGTAGTAAAAATATTACCTTTAATCGCTCTTCTTATAAATTAAACTATAAAAAACTTAACTTATTTAAAATTATAGATCTTATAAGAATCTTATATTATCTAAAACTTTTATTAAGTATAAGAATTTATAATATCTTTTATCTTAATCTATTAAGTCTTATTATAAATAACCTCTTATTAGAATAGATAAATCTATCGTCGAAGTATATAACTATTAATAGTTAAATCGAATAGATTATTAAAGAAATACTTATATTTAAGTTAATTAATAATTATCTTAAATATAAAGTTAAATAAGAAGATTTCGATAATAACTCTATTTAATATAATACGAATGGCGATAAATTCGAAAATTACTAAGATCTAATAAATAACTTCTATAAACGATATTTCGAAGAGTCTTATCTATAAAGATTAACTTATAAAATATCGAAATTATCTTAAACACTTTATTTCTAATCGAATTAAAACCGTTCGATATTTTTATAATAACCTTATTTTTTTAGAAGTCAAGAATTAATTTCTTAGACTCATATCGATTATAAATTATATTATATAAGATCTCCCGCGTAGAATCCCCTTATTAATAGATATCTAAGTATCTTTCGAAGTTATAATACGTTATTTATAAATCTTATTATCGCCGTTAATTGTCAGGACCAGCATAGGTGCGATACCAGTATGGGTGAGGTAGAACTAGGATAATAAGGCTACCGAACTATGTAGGTGGGAAGGAGGCATGATATGGTAGGGGATGCCTCCGCCAAGGCCCGCTAGCCATAGGGCTGAGTGGTGTGTCAAGGGTACGCTCGTAACACTAACCCCCCCTCTCAAATAGCCATGGCCCCCATGGCTGGTAGACCGGAGATGCACGCCCATTGCTTGCCCTGTGTCTCCAAACATCCATAGTCCGTGTAGGCCTCGACCGGAGAAGATTTGCCGAGGTGTAGTGGTAGTAGTCGAAAACATCGGATCGCATGCTGGTCTTGACTGTGCCATCCATGCCTGCCATACCCACATTGTCCTGCAGAGATCCTGGAGATATTGGCCATATCTTGCCTGCGTGCCAGCAAGATTCTCCGAGTTCTTCTCCTTGCCCGGTCTTCTTGTCATAGTCCTCCACTTTTTTCGCCTTCAACACCTACTGGCAGCCTGGCCTGGGAGCTTCACTGTAGATTTGCCCTGTGTCTCCCATGCTCTTGCCATCAAAAATCCATCCTCCGTTCCATTCCATCTCCTTTGCCTCAACTCGTAGCCATCTTGCTTCGTAGTGCTATCCATTGCATCCATCCGCCTTGTAAGCCTACCGCTTCGACTGCCGGTCCCACGTACCCGCTTCGACTGCCAGTACCCCGTAGGCCTACCCGTCCTAAGCTGCCAGTCCCATGTACCCGTCCTAAGCTGCCATAGCGAGTACTCAGCAGCCAATGACCTGACTGACATAGACCACTTCCGTAAACTCATGCACTCGTCGATTCGTAGGGTCTGATAGGGAGGTAGGAGGCTGGGAAGAATCGAATGTGTTGAATGCCATTTGGTAGCAGGCTCACTATGTGTGTTGTCGACGTGCTCAGTGAAGAGATCGTACGTTTGCTGCCATTGTAGCAGGCTCACTGTGTGTGTTGTCGACATGCTCAGTGAAGAGGTCGAATCGTAATCGTGTTGTCGGGTCTGTTCCCGTCGCCATTGTAGCAGGCTCACTATGGTGTGGGGGGTGTTGTTTTCCGTCAGTTTCTTTCTGATTCGCCTGCAGTACGAATGATCCAGTGCTTGTTTATCCCTCGTCACTGTCACGAGGCCGTTCCGCTGTCCCATTAGGCTCTTTGGAATCGAGTTACCCGTATGGTGGGCTTACCCAGGGATACGATGCCTCAAGTTCGTATCTTGATGTCTCAACTTGGTATCTTGACACCTCAACTTAGTATCTTGACAAAGCCCCTGCCAGCGCGTTTGTTTATTAACCATTCGTCCGCTAATCCGAATGGGCGTGAGTGTGCGTTGATTGGCCCGTATGTGTTTCTCTTCGCCGGGTGTACGAAGGAGCCTTATTATAATGTCAGGACCAGCATAGGTGCGATACTAGTATGGGTGAGGTAGAACTAGGATAATAAGGCTACCGAACTATGTAGGTGGGAAGGAGGCATGATATGGTAGGGGATGCCTCCGCCAAGGCCCGCTAGCTATAGGGCTGAGTGGTGTGTTAAGGGTACGCTCGTAACATTAATAGCCTCTATTAATATCGATTATATAATATTCTATAAAGAAACTCGTTAATATTAAATTAGAGTTCTTAGCGTCTACGACTCGATTTAATTTAATTTAATTTAAGAGCCCTTAATTAATTATATCGCGCTATTTCATAAATCTTTTATTCGCTTAGATATAGATTTGAAAATTATTACTATTTACTTCTACGTCTATAAATACTATTTTTACTATACTATATCGATTTCCTTCTAACTAAGCTCTCTATATACGCCTATATCTCGACTAGCGATATCGCTAAAACGTAAGTATAAAGAGCTACTATCGTTCTTAATATCTCTTATAAAAAAAGATATAATAATATAAATCCCGGACACGATTATTTCTTTACTACTTTTACTATTTTTTAGACGTTAAGCGTATATATATACTTATTTTTCTATCTTTCTACTTACTAATTATAGAATATAATTTTATAAAGAGAGAAAATAGTATTATAAGCGTACTCTATATTCTTAATATATCACTTAGCTCTCTTATCTATTCGGGCCTAGCGTATCTTAATAGAGACATTTATCTACTATTTAATATCTCTCTTCTATCTATATAATTCGATATCTTAATTATCTTATTTAAAATATCTATATTAATATTACATCTATATCGATTTTAATAGATATTACTATATAGTAATATAGTATTATTAAACTAATCGAGATTAGAGAATAGATGAGATTTACTTACTATTAATTAACTCGTTAAACTTTTATTATAAATAATATATTTATTAATAAATAGAAGTTTAGAGTTAAATTTATTATAATAGCGAAGTAGATAAAATAGTCTAATTATATATTAATTATAAAGCTTATTTATATTAATTATACTAATCTTAGAAGAAGTATATAAATTATTAATAAACTTATATAATTTTTATATCGTTAATATATAAGAACTAATCGTCTAAAGAAGTAGTATATTATTATTTATAATCGAAATAAGATTTTAGATAAGAAGATAAAGTAGTTAATTACTTAATAAAAGTATTAATTCTTAATATATAATTATTAAAATATCTATTAAATCGATAAGAATAGCGAATATTATAGATTTACATCGATATAATAAAAGCGATAGACTATTATTATATAAAATAACGAGATTATTAAGTTTTAATCTTTTCTCGCTATATATAAAGCGCTAATAAAGTAAAGTCTATAGAGGTCTATATCGAAAGTCCTATACCCGCTAAGACTCTTACGCTTAGACTTCGAATAACGTCTTATCTAAAGGGCTATTTAGATAATACGTCTAGAGTTCTTCGAAATCGCATCTAGTTCTAGCTAGGTTTCGAGGCTTAATATCTCTATCAAATTAAAAGAAGTATCTAAAGTCTCATCTATACGCTATAAGAAGATATTTCTAGACTTCCCCTCTATAGGGTTACTTTTCGAAAGTAGAATTAGAACTATACTAGCGTATATATAGAACTTTCGATATAGATCTCTATAGATAAAGTAAATTAATTATCGCGTTATAAAGTAATTAAAATATCTAGATTTAAGAATATAAAAGAGATATTTAAATAGTAAATAAAGTTTAATATAATAAAGAGTATAAAGAGTATAATTAGCGATAGTTAGCACTTATAATAACTATAATATTATTCTTAAACTACTCTATTTATTTATCTCTTTTTAATAATCTTATTATTTTTATAATAATTACTTATATTAATTAATTATTTTATCTTCGTCTACTTCTACTTCTTTACTACTAGTCGAAAAGATATGATATAATATGAAATATTAATCTATTATATTATACTCTAATATAATATAAGTTATTAAGATTTATAGAATCCTATATCTAGTATAATATAGAATCTTAGTGATATATATTACGATATGATATATTTGTGGGATTATACTATAATATAGTATATATATAGAATATCTTAATTAGGATTTCTATATTTAGAAGTAGCTATTCTAATTATTATTCTAATTAATAATTACGCTAAATTAATAAGATATAGAATTAAATATAATTATATTTTATTACTCTATATATATAAAAGAAAGCGAGCTATATCTGCTAGTAATAAGAAAAACTTATCTTCTCTTAATGCCAGTTATACGAAATCCGCCGATACTTTATAATCAAAGTTATTAATGATAATTTTATACGCTTATTACGTATTTTCGATATCGCTATCTAATATAAAATTATATATATTATAGTTATAGCCTTCTTACTAAACCGTTAATCTAGGAAAATTAATATATTTCTTAATATTCTCTCGAAAGTATCGTAGCTTAATATAATAAGCCATATTTCTTTAAGCTATCTTCTCGCGATATATAAAAAAAAGGTTAGATATAGAAAGTATATAAAAGTATATTTAATAATTCTAGAATGAATTAACGATATTTATAATAATAATTAAAATTAAGAATTAAATATATTTAAATAAGAGATAGCTTTATATTACTCGTATAATAGCGATAATAGTAACTAAGGTTAAAATATTAACTTAGATAGCGTAGCTTTTATAGTAAGCTTTTTATTACTATACGCTAGATTAATTATATATAAATAAAGATTTATAATTTTATCTTTTAAACGTAATCGCGTTTAATATTTTAAGATTTTTATAATAGCTCGATACTTATTAGTTAGCGCGTTAATATTATTATATTTAAACTACGATAGCGCTTATTATTAAATTCTATATTACGCTCTCAAGTAATTTAAAAAATAGAATTTATTTAATTATCAGCGCGTATAGTAAGATTATTCTTAATACTTATATTTTATTTAGCTTCGATATTATTTATTTTCTTCTAATTCGAGCTTCCGTCTTTATTTATATATACGATTATTTACGCGATAAGCGAAACTTTAAACTTCTTTATAATTACGCTTATATGCTTTTTTTATATAATACTATTAAAATATAAATCTACTAGAATAATAACTAGAATTAGAAGCTACTTATCGCTTATCTATTATATCTTATCTAATTTACTTAAAAGCTTACTTCTATTATAATAACGATATATTAATATACTTAACTTTATACTTTTTAATAATTATAATATAATTAATAATTAAAATATCGATTTTCTTTACTTTCTTAACTAGCTTCTTCTTAGATATAAATATATCTATTCGCTATCGCGATCTCTTAATATTTTTATTTTAATTAAACTTATTCTTCGCTTTTTATTTTAGCTAAGAGCCTAGTCGTCGTTTAATTAACCTATATTAAAACTCTTTAATATCGCTATTATTATTAGTATTTAATACTTATTATAATAAATTATTAAACTTAATCTCTTCTACTTTAATTACTATAAAAAGATAAATTAGTAGATATATATAAAAGAATTAAAGGGCTTATATAAATATCTACGAATACTAAGCTATTCTTAGTTTTAATTAAAACTCGTTTTATTAAAAAGTGCGTTAATTCTAATAAATACCGATATTAGAAATAAAGAGAATATATATTACGCGTTATTATAAGTATATTATTATAGAGTTTAATTTAAAGAATAATTATTTCTATAAAGATAATAAGACTTAAAAATAAGAAAGTAAGAATGAAATATATGAAAATTTTAATAAGTTATAGTAGTTTAACGCTAGTTAAACTAGATAAAAATAATTACTTACTAGCTCGCTCTCTTAAATCTTTTATCTTTTAATCTATATAGGCTATAATAATAATTATAATTATTATAAAAGTAGCTAAAATCATACTAGATAATAACGCTTAATAAGCGTAATTCGCTTAAACTTAAATCTTTAAAATTAAAGAAAAAGTGTTTTATTAATATCTAATTTAAGCTAGATAATATAAAGTAATCTAAAAATTTAATACGCGCGATAGATATTTAAGCTTTTCTTCCTCCCTTCTTCCTCTTTAAAACTTTCTTTTTTATATTAACCCTTCTTATTATCAAACTATCTTCTTTATATATTAAACTTCTATTTAAATAACTTAATATTATTATAGCTATATCAAAAGTATAATATAGCTATTAAGTCGTATATTTATTCTTTATCTTTTAATAACTTTAAGTTAATATATAGATAAACCGCGCGAAGAGCTTAATTTATATATACTTAATCTATCGTTAATAGCTCTTCAAAAAAGCTAATACTATTTTAAAGTGCTAGATATAGTATTAGAGTAAAGTCTTTACTAGATATTACTATCGCTTTAATTACTATCGTTATCACTTTAATAAATACCACCTCTACTTTAATAAATACCGTCTTTACTTTAATAATATTAAGGCGTTAATAAAAACTAGATAATATATTTTTCTAATTATCGTTATATTTATTATATATAACTAATACGAGCTATAGCTTAAGCTTTACGCGAGATTTATTATTATTAAAAATCGACTAATTTTATAATTTTAAAGCTCTTCTTTTAGCGCTTAATTCGTTAGATTATATTTATTTAGAATCTATTAAAGCGCTATTATATTTAAAGATCCACTTTTAAAGTATTATATAAGATAATAAAAGTCTTTCTAATTCGTTAGTTTAAGAGTAAACCTTTTATTACTACGCTTCATAGTTAGCTCTAA